TGCCCTGAATTTGGACATCTAGCCTCCTAAACTGTGAGAAAACAGATTTCTGTTCATCAAAGCCACCTACTGTGGCACTTGTGTTACAACAGCACTAGGAAACTAAGACAGCCATGCTAGGTTAGAGATGACAGGGGGCCCGCCATGTTGAGTAGAGAAAAGATTCTGGGCTCAGAAGCGAAGTCTGGGTTGGAAACAGCGGTCTAGGGGTTGTGAGCTAAGATGGTGGGCATGGGTGGGTGAGGGTCGTGATGCAGGCCCTGAGTAACCCCAGAACATGAGACACCAAGGGACGAGACTAGAAAAGCTAGAGAAGGGGAGGAAAAACCAGGTGAGAGCAGGCTTCCAGAAGACAAGGAGGAGAGGGCAGGGTCATCTACCACAGGGAGGGCAGGCATGAGAAGCTGGCCCAATGCTTTGCTGCTCAGGAGTAACAGGTAGGCATGGCTAAGTGTTTATGGGCCTGACTGAGAGAGTGCTTGAGCTTTTGAGGACCGTGGGACTAGACAGATTCAGGGTGCAGGAAAGGGATTCCAGGCCTTATTCCATCTCTGCTGGGGAGACTTCCCTGACTGTGTCCTGGCTCACAATAGACTCCCTGCCCAATGCTCTCACAGCCATCTCCACGTGGCATTGACTTCTCTGGCAGAGACCTTCCCAAAAGCAGAGACAGGCACAAACTAGATGCTCAGGAAACTTCTGTTACCCAAGACAGCAAATGAGAAATGAGAAAGTAGTCATTTGTTATCAAATGATATCAGCATATCCCATCTGCATGCCCCCACTGAAGTGGAAAATGCGCTGAGTGGTTGCATTTGGGGAAGAAACGGAGGGAGAAAGGAAATGGGGCTTCTTCTGGTCTTGGCACTAGCTTGCCTGTCTCCATCCAGGGTGTTGATCTCTCTGTGCCTCAGTTTCTTTACCTGTGTAATGGGGAAAATAGCTGTCCTGCTCTCTCCCAGTGGTAGAATATAACTGTGTATGGCAGTACTACAAATGCAAGCCAAAATAAGTGATCGCTCAGACTTCATCTCCAGGAGTCAGCATTCTGCTGGGGCCCACAGCCTGGTGGTCTGGGATTCTCTGACCTGGCCCACAAGTTCCCCTGGACTTGGGTCTTCTCCTAGCTTCCTCAGGTGATGTGTCTCACGTGCAGATTCGTGGCACGCATTTAGGAATGTAGTGCAGTGGTTCATTCTGGAAATAAGCCTGTTTCTTCTGCTCTGCTCCAGCTCATTAGCAGTTCAAGCAACAGCTTTCTGGGCTCTGGAGGCCAACCCAGGGCTGCTGGGGATACTGCCTGCTAACTCAGGACCTCCTTCACTGGTGCTGAGACAGGACTGAGAGGACGACAATCTCCTGGCACCCCTTAGGTGGTCCCCCAAAAGAGTGGGCCTGGGGAAGTGGAGACTTGCTCTTGCAGTGAACCCACTAAAGTGCCACTCTTTGTAATGTTAGAGATCTGATTCTTGTCATTTCTCGTGACTGTCCCAGCATGCGTCCTGGGTGTGGCAGGGCACAGCTTAGGAGTCGGCAATTATGATAACTCTGAAACCTCAAGTCCAAGTGGTCACCATGTGCAGCAGGAAGCTGAGGCTCAGGAATGGGCTGTGACTTTTCCATTCCTTCTGAGGGACTTTGAAAGACTCCACCCTTGCCAGGCCTGAGGCTCCATCTGGGGTCTTTCCTCAGAGGACTGGCTTTCTGTGTGTCCAGGGGTACCATGAGGTTTTCAGGAGGATCTCTCTCCCCTCGAAGCCCCCACTCCTCAGCAGGCCTCACTGGTCCTTTTAGGGTGAAGCCTCTGTGGTCAGATGCCTTCTTGCTTTGGAAGAAGAAAGCCTGGTCAGCGGCTACTGCACATTGGCCTGAGTGATGTGACATGGATGTGCCAAGCAGGAGCAGAGCAGGTCCAGGAGAGATCCCTTCCTCCAGACCATACCATTCACCATTCTCATCAATACTGGGATGTCTGGGCTGGGACCTAAGGCTGGGTCCCTGCGGGAAACTAGAAGGATACAACTGAAGGACATCGAGCCATCCTTCTGGAGAGGTGGGGAGGGCTGGGAAGAGAAAGCCAGGAATCTCCCATCAGAACAAAAGCCTCCTCCACACACCAGGCCACATCCTCCAGTGAGGATGTAGCTCCAGCTGGGGCCTTACTGGATGCAGGGTCTGCCTCCATATAGGGAGTTTGGGGAAGAGAGGACCCTCTCCCTTCTGCCTTCCAGGCTGCCCATGGTGGACTGTGCAGGCTGTACCAGGGAGCTGGGTGAGCTGTACCTGAAAGTTAGACATGACCCTGGGCCACCAGGTGCTTGGTCTGGGCATAGGGCACTGGGTGGGCATGGCTGGGGTAGACAAAGAGAAACGCCTGCCCAGGAATGGGGTGTGAGAAGTGAAAGTCTACAGCTGCCTGTGCCTGAAAGCACAGGCACAGGGAACGTGAACACCCACTAAGGGCCATTTCAGGAGGGGTGGCTGGCTGGGAAAAAGGGGGGCAGGATAAGAGATGGTTCTGGGGATAGACCATAGAAAACAAGATCAATTTCTGGATTGTTGCTAAAATTGCTCCACCACCTTATAACTGTGGGGATTACACTCCTTAACTTCGGGTCCTATTTAACCTAAGCCTCAGTTTCCTCATCTGTAAGATGAGTGTATCAGTCATGGTTTAACCAGAGAACTAGTAAACCAAAACAAAACAAAACAACCAAACTCATTGCTGTTGAGTCGATTTCAACTCATAGTGACCCTATAGGACACAGCAGAACTGCCCCATAGGGTTTCCAAGGTTGTAATCTTTATGGAAGTAGACTGCCACATCTTTCTCCCACAGAGCAGCTAGTGGGTTCAAACTGCCAACCTTTCAGTTAGCAGCCAAGCACTTAACCGCTGCTCCACTCTATATCATATCTGTAGCTATATCTATGCTGTTGTTGTTGTTAGGTGCTGTTGAGTTGGTTCCAACTTGTAGCGACCTTATGCACAATGGAACAAATACTGCCCAATCCTGAGCCATCCTCACAATCGTTGCTATTTGAGCTCATTGCTGTAGCCACTGTGTCAATCCATTTCATTGAGGGTCTTCCTCTTTTTTGCTCACCCTCTACTTTACCAAGCATGATGTCCTTCTCCAGGGAGTGATCCCTCCTGATAACATGTCCAAAGCATATGAGACGTAGTCTTGCCATCCTTACTTCTAAGGAGTATTCAGGCTGTACTTCTTCCAAGACAGAGTTGTTCGTTCTTCTGTCAGTCCATGGTGTATTCTGTATTCTTCACCAACACCATAATTCAAAGGCATCAATTCTTTTTCGGTCTTCCTTATTCATTGTCCAGCTTTTGCATGCACATGAGGTGATTGAAAATACCATGGCTTGGGTCAGGTGAGTTTAGTCCTCAAAGTGACATCTTTGCCTTTTAACACTTCAAAGAGGTCTTTCGCAGCAGATTTGCCCAGTGCAATACGTTGTTTGATTTCTTGACTGCTGCTTCCATTGGCATTGATTAAGGATTTATGAGTCTAAAAGGTTAAGATCTACATTTATATTGTATATTATAAAGATGCATAAATATACTGACAAATATTGAACATATAATCATTTTCCTCATCTATGAAGTGAGGATGATGATAGCACCCACCTCCCAGAATTGTTGTTAGGACAAAGTTTAGGCACAGTGAGTAGCATATTAAGTGCTCAGAAAATGTTGGACATTATTGATAGCTAATACTTGAAGAATAAGGTAAGCCTGATCCAACCCATGGTGTTTTCAATTGCATCATATGCATGCGAAAGCTGGATGATGAACAAGAAAGATCGAAGAATTGATGCCTTTGAATTGTGGTGTTGGCGAAGAATACTGAATATACCATGGACTGCCAAAAGAGCAAACAAATCTGTCTTGGAAGAAGTACAGCCAGAATGCTCCTTAGAAGCAAGGATGGCGAGACAACATTTCACATACTTTGAATATATTATCAGGAGGGACCAGTCCCTAGAGAAGGACATCATGCTTGGTAAAGTACAGGGTCATTGAAAACAAGGAAGACCCTCAATGAGATGGATTGACACAGTGGCTGCAACAATGGGCTCAAGCATAGTAAGGATTGTGAGGATGGCGCAGGACCGGGCAGTGTTTCATTCTGTTGTTCATAGGGTCTTCATGAATTGGAACCGACTCCATGGCATCGAACGACAACAACAATACTTATTTAGGAGCCCTGGTGGCACAGTGGTTAAGAGCTCCGCTGCTAACCAAAAGGTTGGTGGTTTGAATACACCAGCTGCTCCTTGGAAACCCTATGGGGCAGTTCTACTCTGTCCTATAGGGTCTGTATGAGTCATAATTGACTCGATGGCAAGGAGAATACTTATTTAGAGCTGACTTCTAGCCTGACCTTGGGCTGAGTGCTTTCTACACATTGTTTCAATTATCCATTAATAGATAAAGTTCTGAACCTGGGGGCTATAGAGAAACTCGGGGTAGGGAAGAGTCCCTAAACTCTAAAACTGGTTGGGAAAATCGTGTGTGGTCCGTATTTTATATTGAAACTCTCCACGGCTTTCAGTCAGAAAAAACTGATTTAGACTTTGAGTTAGATTTCTTTCAGTGCTGCTTTAGCTTACGCTTGTGTGTGTCTTCACAGGTAAATAATCACATCATAGAAAGACCTCGGAATTTCTAATGGAACACTTCCTGACCTCCCTGGCCAAAGCCTCCTTCCCTACCTCCTGTAATGAACTTTGCAAAAATGCCTTTCAGGTGTGGGACATAATGTGAGCAATTACAGGCATAGGCTGGCTCTGACCTCACAGGCGCTGAGACTCAGCAGTGGTCAAGGGAGAGGAAGACAGGGAAAAGGGCTAAGGGAATTCCACTTGGTGGCCCCTGCCTCTCTGGGCCTGGAATGTACCGCCCTCGCCCGGGCTTCGTGCTGCGCCTTTAAGGTCCACTGGGGGCGTGATGTCAGAGTCCTGCAGGCACTTGAAGAGGTGAGCACAGCAGCCCGCACAGGGGTTGACTGGCTCGGAGACTGGATTTGGAGCAGGATCTGCAGTGTGCCTGAATCCCCACTTTTCTTCTTGGAGCCCTCGGCCCGTGGACCATGTTCAGCAGACACTGAGTGGGCACTGACCCTGCTCTTGGGGGACGAGGCACCGGGAGACACCGGCCATGGGCAGCTTCCAGCTGGAAGACTTTGCGGCTGGCTGGATCGGAGGTGAGTGCGCTTAAGAGACCCTCCCGGCCAGAGAGACACAGAGGGACCGGACCTAATCCTGCGCTGGCCAAGTTTGCACACAGTGCTCTGTGTTAGGAAGCTTTGCACCCCGTGCACTTCCACCACGCGCCCAGGCGTGCGCGCCGCCTGCTGCGGGAGTCCCCCAACGCGGCGCGTCCTCTTGGGTGGTCTTCCTAGCTTGCAGCGGAAACTATGAAAATTTCACAGCAATTCGCCCTAGGCTTCCAATTTGCCCCAAAGTTAGGACCCATGGAACTTGATCTGGTAATGATTAAACTGCCCCTCAGAGAAGACAGCCAATGGAGCGTCCAGGCGTGCACACACCCTTCAGTAACCAGGTGCGCACCTGAATTTGGGAACGTGGCTGGCAGGAACTTGTGTGTAGGGGTGACGCTTGGCCGCTGGCCCCAGGGCTCCGGGTAGGGTGGTGGGAGGCCCCTTAGAAGAGACTCGACGGTTGGGAGCAGAGCGCACTTAGCTGGGAGTGTTGGCAGACTGCTAGCTTGGAGAAACCCTTTCTCTCCCTTTCTTGAGCTGCTGTCATCCATCGCCTTGCCTCAGAGCACTGTTGGCCGGGGCCTTGGATGGGTTTGCTTGGGCAAGAGTTGCATCCATTTTCTGGCTTCTCCATTCTTCTCTTAACAATACATCTATCCCTCCTCCTTTCTCAGGTATTTATTTGGTGGTGGTGGTGGGAGGGGAGGCATTTGAGGGATTTTGCTTGTCATAAAAAAAGTTATCATTCCTTTGGCCCCATCCAAGAGAGTTGTCGGAAAAGGAATGTTAGCAAATGCAGCCCCTCTCCAAAGAAAACACAAAAATACTGGGGTGCTAAGGCAGAGGCTACTGCTGGCATGTTTGTGCCCCACCAAGTATTCTAGGCGTGGAAGAGGTCCCAGACATTTCTAAGGGAAAAGAAAAAAAAAAGCAATAAACCAGATATGACAGGCCTTTCCGCTCTGGTACCCCCTCCCACATAGCAGTAACCACTCCCCACCCCCCCCACCCCACCCCCACAGGAGGCTGCAGGGCTTGGCTCTCACACCTTCCGGTCAGAGAAACTAGAACAAATTCAGAAGGACAGGCAAGTGGCTTGGTTTGAAGGGTGGGGTGAGTCAGATTAGCTCAAAGCCTCAGATTACAAAGAGACCCTCCCCAGTGAGGGTCCTCCCCAGGGTCCTCCCCAACTCACATGCAAGAGAAGATTGTCCCTTATTCAGAGATTGTCCTTACTTTGTGGATGTTAGCACGCCTTTTTTTTTTTCCTTTGCTCTCATGAAATGATGATGAGTGTACTAAAAGCAAATACTAGGTGCCAGGTGCTGTTTTAAGTGCTATGTGTATGTTTATTTTTTTAAAACAACTTTAGTGGAGGTATATATTATGTATCATAAAATGTATTCAAGTGTACAATTCAATGATTTTTACTAACTTTATTGAGTGGTATAACCATCACCATCCATCAGTTTTAGAACAAATCCATCCCCCTTATACAATCCCACATGCTCATTTACAGTTAATTCCTGTTCCACCTCCAGCTCCAGGCAAATATTAATCGTCTTTCTCTCCACAATAAATTCACCTTTTTTGGACATTATATAAATTGAATCATACAATATATGGTCTCTTGTGTCTGGTGATATTACTTTTATGTGTGTGTGTGCTTTAAATGAAAGCTTACAATTCAAGTTAGTCTCTCATGCAAAACTTTATACATACATTGTTACGTGATGCTAGTTGCCCTCCCTATACTGTGACAGCACACTTCTCCTTTTCCCCTCGGATTTCCTGTGTCCACTCAACCAGCTCCTGACACTTTCTGTCTTCTCATTTCGCCTCTGGACAGGAGCTGCCCATTTACTCTCATGTGTCTACTTGAGCTAAGAAGCACACGCTTCACGAGTATCATTTTATGTCTCATAGTCCAGTCTAATCTTTGTCTGAAGAGTTGGCCTCGGGAATGATTTTAGTTTTAGGCTAATAGTCTGGGGGCCATGTCTTCCAGGGTCCCCAGTCTCAGTCAAACCATGAAGTCTGGTCTTTTTACTAGAATTTGAGTTGTGCACCTCACCTTTCTCCTGCTCCAAAAGGGACTCTCTCTTGTGTTCTCTGTCAGGGTGGTCATTGGTGGTAGCTGGGCACCATCTAGTGCTTCTGCTCACAGGCTGATGGAGTCTCTGGTTTATGTGGACTTTCTGTTTCTTGGGCTAATATTTTCCTTGTGTCTTTGGTGTTCTTCATTCTCCTTTGCTCCAGGTGGGTTGTGACCAGTTGATGCATCTTAAATGGCTGCTCGCTAGCTTTTAAGATCCCAGACGCCACTCACCCAAGTGGGATGCAGAACATTTTCTTAATAAGCTTTGTTATGCCAGTTGACTAGCTGTCCCTGAAAGCATGGTCCCCAGACCCCCACCCCTGCTAGTCTGTCCTCAAAGTGTTTGGTTGTATTCAGGAAAATTCTTAGCTTTTGGTTTAGCCCAGTTGTGCTGAGTTCCTCTGTAGTGTGTATTGACCTACCCTTCACCTAAGATAGTTCTTGTCTACTGTCTAGTTAGGGAATTCCCCTCTCCCTCCCTCTCCTCCCTTGTAACCGTCAAATAATGTTTTCTTGTGTGTTTAAACCTTTTCTTGAGTTCTTGTAATAGTGGTCTTATAGAATATTTGTCCTTTTGTGAGTGACTAAATTCACTCAGCATAATGCCTTCCAGATTCCTCCACATTATAAGATGTTTCACAGATTCGTTGTCATTCTTCATTGTTGCATAATATTCCATTTGTGAATATACTATAATTTGTTTATCCATTTGTCTGTTGATGGGCACCTAAGTTGATTCCATCTTTTTGCTGTTGTGAACAGTGCTGCAATGAACATGGGTGTGCATATATCTATTTGTGTGACTTATTTCTCTAGGATATATTCCAAGGAGTGGGATTGCTGGATCGTATGGTACTTCTATTTCTAGCTTTTTAAGGAAGCACCAAATTGATTTTGTGGCTGTACCATTTTACATTCCCACCAACAGTGTTCCAGTCTCCCCACAACCTCACCAGTGTTTATTATTTTGTGTTTTTTGGATTAATGCTGGCCTTGTTGGGGTGAGATGATATCTCATTGTAGTTTCGATTTGCATTTCTCTAATGGCTAAAGATTGTGAGCATTTCCTCAAGTGTCTGTTAGCCACCTGAACGTCTTCTTTGGTGAAATGCATGTTCATATCTTTTGCCCATTTTTAAATTGGGTTATTTGTCTTTTTGTTGTTGAGGTTTTGCAGTATCTTGTAGTTTTAGAAATTAGATGCTGATCGGTTTGTTATAGCCAAAAATTTTTTCCCAGTCTGTACATTGTCTTTTTACTCTTTCAGTGAAGTCTTTTGACGAGCGTAAGTGTTTGATTTTTAGGAGCTCCCAGTTATCTAGTTTCTCTTCTGGTGTTCGTGCATTGTTACTTACGGTTTGTGTTCTGTTTATGTCATGTATTCGGGCTCCTAGCATTGTCCCTATTTTTTTTTCCATGATCTTTATCGTTTTTGATTTTATATTTAGGTCTTTGATCCATTTTGAGGTAGTTTTTGTGCATGATGTGAGTATGGGCCTTGTTTCAGTTTTTTGCAGATGGATATCCAGTTATGCCAGCACCATTTGTTAAAAGAGACTGTCTTTTCCCCAATTAACAGACATTAGGCCTTTGTCAAATATCAGCTGCTCATAGGTGGATGAACTTACATTTGGATTCTCAATTCTGTTCATCGGTCTATGTATCTGTTGTTGTACCAGTACCAGGCTGTTTTGACTACCGTGGCAGTTTAATAGGTTCTAAAATTAGGTAGTATGAGGCCTCCTACTTTGTTCTTCTTCAGTAATGCTTTACTTATCCAGGGCCTCTTTCCTTTCCATATGAAGTTGGTAATTTGTTTCTCCATCTCATTAAAAAATGCTGGTGGAATTTGGATCGGGATTGCATTGTATCTGTAGATGGCTTTGGGTAGAACTGACATTTTTACAGTGTTGAGTCTTCTTATCCATGAACAAGGTATGTTTTTCCACTTACGCAGGTCTCTTTTGGTTTCTTGCAGTAGTGTCTTGTAGTGTTCATTGTATAGGTCTTTTATGTTTCTGGTTAGATTTATTCCTAAGTATTTTATCTTCCTGGGGGCTATTGTAAATGGTATTGATTTGGTGATTTCCTCTTGGAAGTTTTCTTTGTTGGTGTAGAGGAATCCAACTGATTTTTGTATGTTTATATTGTATCCTGATACTTTGCTGAAATCTTCTATTAGTTCCAGTAGTTTTCTTGTGGATTCTTTGGGGTTTTCTGTGTATAAGATCATGTCATCTGCAAATAGAGATAC